CCTCTACCCTTCTAGCTCCCGATACTGCGGCAAAATTACTCAAAAGATTCGGAGAAGGTAGTATCTGTCCTAGATTACCCTTATATTCTACATGAAATACCTGGAACAGCTTCTAATTCTCCCTGGATCTTCATCTATTCAGTTGGCAACTTTTCCATCGACTACAATCTTCTGCTTTCCTGCATCTACATCATCCTGTACATTCGGGCTAGTGAATTAGTCCAGCGTGTACATTCGGGCTAGTGAATTAGTCTAGCGGTTTTTTTGCTATTATTTTAGTAAATCACCGGTACTGTTTAAATACTACACCCGCGCATCTGTTTCTGTCATTTTTGCCACATGAACAGGCCAGTTTTTCTCTCTGGCATATAAGTTTTATTGTTTTTAATAACCGGACATAATTTCAATTCATCGTTGGCTGTACCGCAACATGCTGATACCTATTAATGTTTCTTCATTATGCGTTTTATGCCGTGTAACAGCTGCACAAAACATGTATTTTCATGGCATTGTCTGTGTCTGTGTGTGTTTGTATGTGTACGTATGAACGTGTATGTGCATATATGTATGTATGTATGTATGTATGTATGTATGTATGTATGTATGTATGTATGTATGTATGTATATATGTATGTATTTATTATTGTATGTATGTATGTATGTATGTATGTATGTATGTATGTATGTATGTATGTATGTATGTACGGTATGTATGTATGTATGTATGTATGTATGTATGTATGTATGTATGTATGTATGTATGTATGTATTTATGTATGTTTGTCTGCGTTCGATGAATCTTGTTAATTACTGTGTAACATCTTTGTGATACTTATCATATTCGATAATTCTGTGGTAGATACAAAGGGGTTAAGATGCTTTTTCAGTCTTTCAGACCTCTCTTTCCCTACGCCTTCGATGGTTTCCAAAATCGGTAATTTTGAGAATTCTTGAAAATATTTTTTAGAAAGCCTTACCTGCATGCCACAGTACCTTTTCCCTTGATATGCCAGCAACAATGCATATGAATGCTCCTTTTTCCTTCGTTTTTTCTTTGGTTCACCTGCATTATACAGCAAATAATAAAACGAATGATACTTATAGCGCCCTACGCACATTCCCAGTTTTAACCGGAGTGAAGGGCCTAGCAATATGAAGTTTTTCTTGGGCGAGTAATTTCAACATCAGTGAAGCAAGCACTGTTTGTCATTGCACTTTCATCGTTTAATGGACCGAAACGTTTTACTTAATATTTTTCACAGCCTCTTAACGTCCTCCGCTTTCTTGTTTTCATTTCCCCCCGTC